CAGCCCTGTCCTACCCCCCAGCTCGCCCCACCTGGGCCTGGTGCTTGGGGAAGGGGTGCAGGGCAGTGGGCCGGATGCAGGGGTTGTTTATCCAGCCTGACCTTTGCAGGGAGTTAAATATTTAACTGCTGTCAGAGCCAGTGTCAGGATTTAATTGGGACAGCTCAGCGGGGTGGGGAGGCGGCTGCAGGGGGCCGCAGGGTGACCCATTTAGCCCAGATGAGAAACACACATGCACACACCACACACTTGCACACAAACATACACACACATATATGCACATGCATGCACACACACACTGGTAAGCACACACGTGCCTACACGTGCGCACACACACGTCCTTAGACGTGCATACATGTACACAGGTACATACATATGCACACACACGCGCACATGTGCACACATGCATATGCATACACACAGCCATATGTGCATACATATGTACACACAGCATGCATGCACACACATGCACACACAAACATGCAGGCATGCAAGTACACATTAGCACATACACATACACACAAAAACATGCATGCACACACAGTACGCGTGCGCACATGAATAAGTATGTGCACACACAAAGCATGCATGCACACACATGCATCCATGTGCACACACGCACATACACAGGGATCCTTCCCCCCCTCTGCCTCCCCTGGGCTCACTCACCTCCCCCCAGATGACCACAGACCTCAGCCCGTGCGCTCATCCTGCCCCACTGTGGGGTCTGTGGGCCCACGGGCCCGGCTCACACCACTGGTAGGGGCCCTTGAGCTGGCTCAGGCTCTGGGCTGGGCACACACCGCAGCTTGGCTAGCCCAGAGCGGGCCAAGCCCCTGGAGCCGCAGTGCAAAAAGCTGTAGCAGCCAGGCACGGCGGCTCCCTGTGCAGCCCCAGGGTCACACACTTGGGTTTGTGCCCCCTCCCAAATGCTCAGCAGCCGCTGGGGTCTCCAGAGCCCCCCAGGGAGAGGCATGGCGCTGCCCAGCTCAGCTCACCCCACCCCACCCCACCCAGGACCAGTCCAGGACTGGTAGCCCCTGCTGCTGACTGATACGGTGCCTTGGCAGCACCGCTGTCCCCAAACAGAAGGAAGGGAGGGGCAGAGAAGACACCCCCACCTGCCCGTCCACCCACCCCGGCTCCCAGGAGCAGCCGCATCCCAGGCGTCCCAGTGCCTCCAACACCCCAGACCCCCCCGACACGGAGCCAAGCCCGGCGCTGGGCTCCCAGCGCTCGGCCCCCTGCCCCTTGCCCCCGCCCTGGTGCTCTCAGCCCTGCCACTTCATTACAATGGATTTTATAGTAAAGACATCAGCTCGCAGGAAGGACTCGCCGGCCCGGCAGTGGCTATAACTTATTGGATTTCCCGGCCGCAATTACACGGCCCAAGCAGCCCTTCTATTTACCTGTGTAGACAACTCCATTTATTTCTATTGACATGTTGATGCTGCTAATACCTGTGGTGGACAGGTTCAATGCGGTCTCCTGTCTGTCATCTGCGGAGGGGGAGGAAATACCGATATGAGCACGGAGAGAAACAGAGACGAGATGGGGGAGCGCCGGAGGGAAGGGCCCCGGCCCCACGGCTCTCTGCTCCTGGCCTGGCGTGAGGCTGGGTGGGTCTTGCAGGGGGATTAACATGGCCCAGAAGGGGCAGGCCATGAGTGTGTCATTGCACACGTCCTTCCATCTGTCCCTCTTCTCTGCTGACCACGCATGCCATCTATGTACCCCCCCGGCCTCCCACCTCTTCACAGCGGCTCTCTCAGTCCCCCGTTCATCTGCAGATGTGGTCTGCTTGTCCGTCCACCCTGTCCTGCGCCCTCCTCCGCGGGCGTAGAGCAAACGCCCCTGATCGGGCTGGAAGGGAGCTCCAGTCCAACCCCTGCCTGAGGCGGGATCAGCCCCGTCCAAACCAAATCCATGAACTAAACCCTTGGTAAAACTACCATCAACCCTGACACCTGCAGTGTTTCTCCAGCTCCCGGGACGTTGCAGTGGTGGGTCTCAGCAGGGGTCCTGCAGCACCCCAGGGTGCCGCGAGATCCTTTTAAGGGTGCTGTGCAGCACTGGGTGTGCAACCGCCTGCCTGGGAGTCACACCCAGAGACTGACCATAGGAATACCATGTCAGGGGCATTTTCACCGTTGTGGGCTTGCTGGGTGTTGGCCATAGAAGAATGGTCCCAGGATTTTTCCACAGTCGAGAAGGGAGGGACGAGTGGGAGCTGGCACTGCCTGAGGCTGGCAAGGGGGGCTGGAGTCTAGAAAGGTTGAGACTGTCGGGGTTTTGGCTTCCTCTGCAGCGGGGGCAGGGAGCATCTATTAGCAACCCTTTGCAGCAGCAGGACGTTGGCCACTGCGGCCCCCCAGCTTCCCCTGCGGCAGAGTCGGGGGTGATGCCTGGGGCTGCATCGGGTGCTGGTGGTTTTGCTAAGAGGTCAGACAATGGGTTTGTGTGGGCTGGTTTGGACAGGCGGGGCTGGACACAACGACCTCGGAGCTCTCTTCCCATCCAGCCCCTCTATAATTTTATGAGCTGTTGGTGGAGGGGACGTGCAAGAGGGTGGGATGAGGAAGCAGAAGGACGAAAAGGGGGGATATAAATGGAGGGAAAGGAAAAAGTTGCTCTAATCCACCTGTCACACTGTTCCCAGCTGCTCAGGAGACGTCCTCCTGGGAGGTGCTGCGTACAAGCGCCGTGCGTGGTCGCTGCTGGTTGGGGTAGGTGGTGCAACTGAGCAGCCCCATCTCCCCCACCACAGAGCAACATGCAGCAGAGGCACCAGCACCTGGAGCACCCTGGGGTCTCCCTTCCAGGCACCAGCCCTGCTTAGCTGCAGGGCTGTGGGCAGCGCCTGCGCCCCAGGGTGCCCTGTAAGGCCTCCATACCCCCGCCTTGCGGCAGGTACCTCGGCTGCCGATCTTGACGCTCATGGGGAGCTGGGAGGCCATGGCCAGGAGGTTCTGCTGCAGGGCGTGCTGCACCAGCCGCTGCTGCTCCTCCGCCATCAGCGCCATCTTCTTCTCGGGGGGCTCCCCCGTCTCCAGCTTCTCCCGCAGCTGCTCCAGCGCTGCGGCCTGGGAGGCGGCTGCCAGGTGGTGCCCTGCCAGGCTCACGGGGATGGTGAGGCGCCCAGGCACCGCCGCGGACAGCAGGCCATCTTCTGCTGGGATGAGGCAGGGCAGGGGTTCAGGGGGTGCGGGGTGGCACCCTATACCCCCAGGTAAAGCCCCCAGAGCTGGGCAGGGCGATGGGAGCACAGGGCATAGAGGCTCTTGGGACTCAGATGCCACGGGGTGGGCATCTCAGCCTCCCTCCACCATATTGCCCTCTCTCTGGGTGGCCGTATGGACAGCACGGGCCACGCATACCCTGGGGGCAAGCCCCTCTGGGCAGCCTGTGCATCCCCTCTGAGCAGCCCACATGCACCAGTACCCAGAGCTGCCAGCTCTCAGCCCCGGAGAAGCGGGACCTGCCCCCCTCCCCACCCACCTTTCTTGATGGCGTGCACCTGGGCGAGCTGGCTGCAGCCGTGGGTGGCGAGGGTGAGGGCAGGCACAGAGCCCTTGGGGGAGGCCAGCATGGCGGGCGTGCCCACGGGTGAGTAGCTGAAGAGCGCGGCGCTGAAGCTCTGCCGCCGGCCCTCCCGCCGGTTGCTGTCGATGGCAGCCTGGAGCTCGCCTGGGGAGCTGAGCGCTCGCTTCTCGCACTCGTAGGGGTACAGGTACTTCATGTACCTACGGGGGCACGGAAGTGTGAGTGAGACAGGGGAAGCAGGGACTCACTGCCACGCACATGCATACAGACACATGCATGGATATACATGTACCCACACCTGCTCACATGTGTGCACACACATGCATGCATACACGTGTGCACACATGCACAGATTCACATGCACACGTACATGCACACAGGCACGCACACATTCACACATGCATGCATCCAAACACAAATGTGCATCCATGCAAACGTGCACACGCAGGCATGCACACATGCTAGTGCACATACATGCATGCACAGGCACATACATGCCTAAGAACGAGCAGCTCAGCCCAAGCTCTGGGCTGAGGATCCTGATGCCCAGGTGCCCCAGCCTGGGCTCAGGGGAGCAGGGCTGTAGCAGTGCTCCCCTTCACTCCTGCACAGTGGTAGTGCCCGGAGAAGCCGCTCAGCAGGGAGGTGCCCCTGTGCTAGGCGCTGTACAGCCTAGGCTGCAACCCGGCAGGGGCAGAGCTGGGGGTACGCGGGCAGCCCTCGTGGTCATGATGTAGCCACCCCGTTCTCTTAATACGGTGCCCGAGCACACCCATGGTTTCGTGGCCAGGAGCGAGCGGGCAGCAGGAGCCATGCCCAGGGTTCATGAGCCCCCCCACCCCCCAGCCGGGCAGCTCACTGGGTGCGCAGGGTGAAGGCGGCGCTGGTGATGGAGGTGGGCAGGTTGAGGCCTTTGGTGATCTCCCTCCAGATCTTCTTGTTGATCACCTCCACCAGGCCGCCCTTGTCGGTCACCAGCCGGTACAATGTGTACAGGTCCAGCACCTGCTTGGCCATGATGGGGATGCGGTTCACGGGCGTCCCTGGGAGACACGGGGGGAGAGAGCGTGGCATGGGGTCAGTGGTGTGAAGGCAAGAGCCAGCCAGGGACTCAGCTCCTGTTCAGCAGTACGGGGTCTAGGACACACAGCAGGGTGCTCTGCTGTGTCCCCACACACAGCCGCAGCCGTGCACCCACCCCTGGTCACCGGGGGCAGCTGCTGGCATCCAGGATGCTGGCCCACGGCGTTGGAGTGTGAGCGCACGTGCTGTGTGGTGCTGGAGGAGCGTGCGTGTGTTGTGTTGGAGGAAGCACGCGTTACGGTGCAGTGTGTGTGTGTGTGGCGCTGCATTGGAGGGAGTGGGTGTGTTGTGCTGTAGAGAGCACATGGGTGTTGTGCTATGTTGGAGGCACCGTGTGTGTTGCATTGCAGTGTGTGTTGTGTTGTGGGGAGCATGGTGTTGTGTTACTGTGTGTGTTGTGTTGGGCTGCAGAGAAGGCAGGTGTGTTGTGTGGTGCTGTCAGAGGGAGCATATGCGGTGTGTTGCATTGTGTTGTTCTGTATTGGAGGGAGCTTGTGTGCTGTGCTGTTCTGTATTGGGGGAAAGGCAGGCGTGTTGTGTTGTGCTGTGAGGTGCTGTGTGGGGGAGAAGGCAGGTGTGCTGTGTTGCATTGTGCTGTGCTGTGTTGGAGGGAAGGAGTGCGTCGTGTTGTAGGGAGCGTGTGTGTTGTGTTGGCGAAAAGGCAGGGGTGTTGTGTTGCATTATGCTGTGCGGTATTGTGCCAGAGGGAGTGTGTTGTGTTGTGTTGTGCAGAGCTCATGTGTGGTCACAGGTGCACAACAGCTGAGGCGGGCAGGGAACCCAGCCCCAGGCCTGCACCCGCCCCCGGGGAAGTCGGAGAAGGCCCCGGGTGCCAAGCCAGAGCCCCGGGGGGCTGGAGATGCAGCGGGGTGCAGGGTGCACGGGGCAGGGCTGGGCATCGAGGAGCAACCGGGGTGGCACAACCCTCGGGGACCCCTCAGCCAGCCTGGCCTGGCGCCCCAGGGCCCCCCGGGCTGTCCAGCACCAGGTCCCGCCAGCCCTGAGCTGGCAAGTGGGGCAGTGCAGGGGCATCCAGGGGCAAGGCTGGACGGAGCAGCTGGGGCCCCCACATGTCCCTCGCCAGCGGGACCATGCCAGCAGGCACTGCAGCCCGGGCCCGGGGGTGGAGGGTCCTCCATGGGGCTGGTGTGGCCAGCAGCAGGACGCTGAGTGCCGGATGCCTGCCCCTCCGCGACAGGCAGACAGCAAACCCCGGCATCCCAGCTGCCGGAAGCCAGGCCGCGCTGCCTCGCTTGGAGCCCCCGGGCGGGCGCTAACGAGGGCTGCGCCGATTGCCTTCCCCGGGCTGCTGCCCCCCCACGTCCCCCGCGGCTGAGATCAATTCCAATAATCCTGCGGCATCGACAGCGCTGCCAGATATTCAGGGGCTAATTACAGCCAGCTCCGGCCCCCGGGACCAGCAAAACCCTGGTGCGGAGGCTGCATGGATGGCGGGGATGCAGAGGCCCCATCTCCCAGCACCCCCATAGTCCCCCTCTGTGCCCCAGCACCTGGTCACAGCCAGTGCCCTTTGCCCTTTACCCCCAGCATGCCACAAGCAGGCTGCCCTTGCCTCTCTCCTCCTGCCCCCAAGGCTCCCCTGGGCATGGGACACAGGCCAACTGCCCCCCAGCCCTGCCCAGCTCCGGGTGCCAGGCTGCAGGGCCCCATTCGTGTCCCCCAGCCACCGCGAGGGGCCCTGAGGCCTGACCTGCCATCATTAACCTGTGCTTTGCCTTTGCAGTTTTATGGGGCAGCCAGGATTTATGGCGGCAGCCCTCAATAGGCACCGAGAATTATGGCCGCTGCGATGCCGTAACTCTCCGGAGAGACGGAGGGAGTGTCGTGCAGCCGCAGCCCCGGGCAGAGGGACCAGCCTGGGGGTGAAGGG